GTAAAAGATGAGAAATGCAAGAAATCATTGTTGGTGGTAATAAATGAATAATGCAATGAATTATTGTTGGTGGTAGACATGTCCTATAGCAACACATAAAGTTTGTGGCAATAAATGTATATTACAACAAAAAATAGTAGTTGCGTAGTAGTTTCTTGCAACGAGGGCATTTTGGCCAGTGCCTTTTTAATTTCTTTTCGTAGCTATAAATTTATTTATTGTTATAAAATAAATGTGCCATGAGTATAAATTTCATCATCACATATAAAACTCAAAACCTTCATTAACTTCAAACATATGTTTCAACCAAAATAATAACACAATGACCATAGTACTGCTAAAATAAACATGACCACAACAGAATAAAAGCATCATCTTTAACTACAAGTTTGCAACTATGTTTGACATAATAAAATAGAACTAAATATGAGTTCACTTTTTGATCTCTTCGTGCCCCATCGCCCATCGGCACTGGCAGTCATTAATAAACCTTTCTCCAATTCTTGTAGCTATCCATCACCAACATTAAGGCATAGAGCTTTCTCTAATTAATCTAGTTGTCAATGCTTTCCTGCAATTTATGAACAAGCATACAATTAGTTATTGGAAAGAAATAAAACTGCATGACCAATTGCCATTGTTCTTTTTGTGGAAAAGAACCCAGTGGTAGTAGCATCGTCAACCTTTTTTTGTAGTCAACACCCTTGCTAGTTCATTCTGCCAAAATAAATGCTTTGATGTAAACAGATTGCAATTTGTATGTGACATCAGTCAACTAACATATGAAGCTGATTGCCCCCAAAAAATTACTTCTACAATTAGGAACCAGAGTTCATGTTTGCAACAAATAATTTTTAAATTACTACTACTCGGAAAAGTGGATAACATATGGAAATAAAATTAATCATACAACTGGAAGTGGAAAACCAGTGTCTATACTTAGTAAAGTAGAATAGAGTTACTACAGAGGCAATTAGGGCTAGTGCCAATGAATAAAATTATTCCTACGTTCAGCAGAGTAGAAAAAAATTACTCCTATGTTCAGCAAGGCAGAAATAAATTTACTGCTATGTTCAACAAGACCTACATTCAACACAGTAGACCAAGCCAACAAGACCTATAGGTGTTCAAATATATATCTTTTATAATTCATCAATAAGGAAACAGAGAACCAATCATGAAGTTAATCCTCCATACTAGAAAATTCAGACTACAATATTATCTCTTGAGCTACATCCTATATTCATGGTGGTGTGATGTTGTTGATGTCCTCACTTGGGCCATTTGGATCCTTTGTGGTGTTGATGGTTCCTGGGATAGCATATGCGGCCCAAAAGGTAAGGAACATCAACGAAAATAGAGGAGCCAAAAAAGAAAACCGTGTTCCAAATTTATTACCTATTGCAATGCCACTTGTATTGTTGTTGAACAAAATTCTTGCCTGATTTCTTAATTTGTTTGATACATTCTTCCTTATCTCTTTCCCTCGCAGAAACTTCATTTGCAAGTTTCTCGTTTAATCCTTGAATATCTTGTTGGTGCTCCATGTCTTCTTGTCAGGCAAAGATCGGAGACGTTGGGGATGCCAAGATCTGACCTGTTCTTGATGTCTGCTTCGCTGCAAGGACATAATTTAGTTATGCACGCAAATTTTTTTAATACGGAGTGAATAATTGATATGCACATCCATAAGGCAATGGCCCAACTGCCATTTAACCCCTGTCAGGGAATTATGAAAAATATATATTGTATTTCGCGGGATTAGTCTTAACAGATGTAAAAAACAGGTCAAAATCAAACCAAAAAAGGCAATGGCAAATGAACTACAGATATCCCCAACCTATTTATACTAAAATTATGCTTGCTTATACCATTATATGTGCATACAGCAATGACAGAAGATCATCATAGGCAGAAATTTTGATTACAGCAAGAGTCTCTGAATGAACAAAACATAAATTGCGTGATATATTTTAAAGAAATATCAAGAAGAAAATATATTTATGTAGCACACTTCAGGGCATCAAAGGACCTCGTTAGATTACTTTGTTGTAACATGGCAAGATAAATAATCGGTATGACCAGCAACGCAAATATCAACCCATGACATGTTTATCTTCTAACGAATGATAACCTGTGTTAATCTTCTTGCAAACCCATGGCTCTAAAGCAAACCCATGAAATACTCAGAGGAACTTTAATTAAGACACAATGAAATTAAAAAATATATATAGGCATACATGAAAGTTAGGTTTTCCCTTTTGAGGCGCTCATTCAAGTCAGGACCCTGCAATGCACACAGGTACCGTCAGGACCCTCTAATGCAGACACGTACGGGCTGGCCAGGCAACAGATCAAAGCAGCCATGTACAATATTACTTTGTGATTTATTTAGGACAATGTATTACTACTAACTGACACCAAGTCAGATAATCATATTTGTATTGTATCAGACTAATTGGTTTATGGCGAAGGTACATAAATACAATAGGTGCTTTCAACAAAAAACATCTCATTTCCAGAAATATTGTGCATATCAGAAAAACAATGGAAACACGCATAAAGTTCTTTTTTTTGTGGAAAAAAACAGACATAAAGTTCCTGCAGAGAAAAAGCTACTAGCCTAATATTGCAGAAGGGAACTGAACATACTGCTAACTGCCTGCCCTTCAATCATAGTCAAATTCAGAGCATATTGACACAAGTAACTGACAATCAGAAGCAAGTTAAGTATCGGCCGCTTACCCACTTGTTGATGTCCTTGACGACGGGGTTGAGGAGCTGGAGCACCGTGAAGTTGAGCAAGCCCGTGGAGTTCACGTCCAACACTAGGGTCGGGGTTTCCTTGACCTCGCTAGATTCGGGGGCACAGAGCGTAGTAGAACGGGAAGAACAGCAGCACAGCCATGGCCACCGCGGCGGCGGCCGCCATGGAGACCATCTCGCGCGGGCGCAGCAATGGGGGTCGGGAGTGCTCGAGTGTGCGCCGCTTGATCTCTTCGCCCTAGATCTCCCGATGGGGGGCCTGTGGATAGGGCCCCGGAACCCATCGGAGCCTCGCAGTAGCCGCTCGGAGAAGAGAACGTCGAGGAGGGGGAGCCATGGGGAGGCGAATCGGGAGTTCGGGATCTGAGTGGAGGAGAAAGTTTGGGGCGGCGAATCTGGGAAAGTGGAGAGGTGGGCGGCGGAGTGCGAGGGTGGAGACAGGGCGCGCGCTAAGGTTTTTTATTGGCACTGATGGAAGGAACGCGGGATTTTTTTAATCAAAATTTGAAATTATTTGGTATTGTGAATCATATGCTTAATTTTAAATTTATTTGAATTTTATATAGTTCTAAAACCTGATCTTTGAAACTAAATATTGTTGTGGCATTTTTTTATTTTCTCATTTTTGTTGTTTCCGTACACGAACTTATTTTAGAGCAACGTGTGTGGTAAACACGATCTTTATTTTACATATATAGAACTTATATATGAAAATATAGATATATTTTAAGATCACATTCAATTCAAATTTGGTACTAAGATTTTTTCGCATTAGGCATAATACATATTTGCACAAGTTAATGGGCACTTGGACATTATGCCCATGGACATTATCCATATATTCCTTTTGATTAGTTACTTATTCTTAATTAGAGTGAATCACATGCAAAACAATAGGAGTAGGCCATTGTAGCTAAAATAAATTTAGGGAGTATTACAGGGTTAAGTGGATTGGTGAGAGTAAAATAACCAAACAACAACATATTCTAGAATCAAGGAAGGCCATGATTAGGATGTCAAGGTGGCAATATAGTTTTGTATAGCCCCAATGTCGTCCATTTGATCAAGAATAGACGACTACAAGGTCATAGGCTGAGTAGGCCATTGTAGCTAAACTATTTTTATGAACAAACATACAAAATTAAAAAAGATAAAGTTGTATCAAAGTAAGATGAAGTTAACCATTGACCTTCGTGCATAGCATAATCTCGGAGGCGTGCTACAATATGTATAAATCAAGCCCACACCGGAAAATCAAAATCGTCTCTGCACATTGTTTCAAAATGATGGATCCATCGTACTTTCATTGTAAATATCATCGCTAGAGCAACTGCAGCGTCCATGCCATTATGATGATATAATTTGGCACATATATTTTATTTTGCCTCTAGAAAATACTTCCTAGTGAGTACATAGAAGACTAATAAGATGTCTTCATAAGTTAATAAATGATACTTTCTTAATTCCAAATTATAAGATATTTTGACTTTTCAGATACACAGCTTTTGTTATGCACTTAGATATATTATCTTTAGGTACGATTAACCAAAATGTCTTACAATTTGAAATGGAGGGAGTTGATATTTATTTAGATGAACATGTGGTATTGCAATGCATTGATGTACTGATATGTGTATTTTTTAGAATTTAATCACACTTTTAAAGCACATGTAATTCAAATATGAAGTGATCCAATAAATAGACATAAATAAATTTAAATCTTAAAAGGTAAAGTTGTCTAAAAAATACAAAGTAAAAACTAGTTTATAAAATATAGGAGTGTTTTTTTTATTTTTGTATGTATATAGGACATACCATAAACAAAAAAAAGGGAATGATAACCTTATATAAGAGCACGAAATGATAGATGATTATTTCACATAACATTGTTTTCGCATATTTGTCTATGTGAAATAATTAATTATATTATTTGCACAAAAATACCTTTTCTAAGAATTTTAATTTCTTTACAACCTTTCTGAGAATAAAATTTTATTTGAAAATTCCCTTGTTTTTACTTGCATTGTTTTAGTTTCTTTCGCATCAAAATTGAATTTACAAATTCGCCGATGGTGCTGTGAAGTGAAGGGCGTGGTGAGTTCGGACCTCTCATCGCTGGGCGCGAAATGAAATTTTGAGGGAACTCGCTTGCGCGCGACTACAAAATCGCGCCGTATATCCCCGCGCGGCTCTGTAGCTTTGGCCTCCCAAATTCTCCACCGCCCCTCACAGCCTCACTCTAGGCACCGTCGCCCCTCAGGTCCCCCCTCGGCCGCATCTCCGGCCGTCCAGCCCGCAGCATCATTGCAGGCAGTGCCTTCAGCATCCAGGCGCACATCTCCATGGTTGTATTGTAAGTATGCAACACTAAGGCGAAGTCGATGCGTCCAAGACTCCAAATTGCTTCCTGTTCCGGCTCCGATCTGCTTCTCCGGCGGCATGGGTGCACGGCGGCAGGCGCGACGCATCCAAAGCCAGCCATCCATGGGCGAGGGGCACGGCATGGCGGCCGGACAGCACCCCAGTAGTTGCGGGCAATGTGTACATGGACGACGCCCAACATATGTTTGAGGAGATGCTTGCAAGGTAATTAATTTGCTGTAGTTCTTGAAAGTTCTCGTATGCCTACATATACTATCTGGTAACGAAACAAATAGGACAAGGAACATGGTTCCTCCATACGTACTGAAAAATAGCAGCAATACTTGCTTTCTACGAAATTTCGTTTTTAATCTGTGCAGATAAACACAGAAGTTTACATACTGCATTTGACATTTTTTTATGTTTAGATTAATCAGCAGGATCTCTTAGTTATCTCTGGAGGTGCAGTGTCGCTAATGTGGCCCTCCCTTGCTTATATCCTGTGAGTGAAACCAAGATTAGAAATTGAGATGACTTTAGAAGATTATGTTCATAAAAATGTCAGAATAGGTTGGAACTTTGTTCCCTTATCTAAAATAATAAAAATGTCAGAATGACTTACAATTTGGAATGGAGAGAGTATTTTTTTTTCTTTTACCAGTGATGATCTGAACTTTTTCTTTTGCTAGGCATTATTGCTCTTAACCAAAGGTCAAATAGTCATCATGAGTTCTTTAGTTCAGTTGCCTAGCAAATTCCTGGTTGATTGATTGCTGTGTTGCTTTTTGGTTCCCAGTTTGTACTGAGAAATGGCCAGTGGGTAATGAAGTTATTAGTGAAACCATGTAGGCCTAAGTATATTAGTGCTACTATAAGACAGGCTTACCTAATGCAAATTACTCGTATTAATTTAATTTGAATTAAACTCTTCATCAAAACCAAATTGACTTTTGGTTCCATCAGAAAAGGCCACACCTCTTGGCCTTTTTTTTTGGTGAAGACTTCAGTTAGCAAAGTCTATAGACTTCCATTATTATCCCCCCTCATGCTCCGTTTCCAGATCGGCTACTGGTCGTTGTCGCTGGCCCTGACTTCACCTTCATCGACCATCACCTGGTGAGCATCTACCTTTTTCTGGGAAGCAAAGTTTTTTTTATGACCAAGCATGATAATATATGGAGAAAAAATAGATGCTTACATACATATTTGCTGATCTGTTCAGGAGGGAGTCTAGTCTGCATCACTGGTGCATAATCTCCTGTGATTTGAAGGTGAGTTTTCTAATTTCTAATTTTGTATATTCGTTATTGAGCATGGTGCTTTCAGCTTTGTAATGATGAACGACATAACTTATGGTCTGCATGTGAAATTGTTATATCTAGTGCTGCTTATTAATCACTTTTTGCTGAAATATTTGACATCAAGTGGTTATGTTCTACATTTGTGAAATAGCTCATGATTACAACAAGATAACTGAATAAGATATAATCCGTTAAAATAAACATGCATATATGTTCTCATATTAAAATTGTTGCTGCATATATGCCTCTTTCATTTTCAGATGTGAATTTTACTCCCCTTTCATTGTCTATTTTCACTAAATTTCTACTATCATGATTAAGTTACTAGTGCGTGGGCCCTTTGTCCTGATCGACATGATTGTGTCGAATCTGACATAGGTGACTAGACCTTCTCTTGTTAAATGTGAGAAAAAAAATAATGTCTTGATAATGACATAGCTGTCTTGTGAAAGTTCAGCTCTGAAATCAGTTCTTTTTTTGTAGGAGAGTAGAGGTGCTTGACTGCTTTATTGGTGCAATGGTGTTGATGTAACGGTATCGAGTACATGGACATGGAGGAGTTTCTTCTTTAGATGTGCCTCCAAATATAGTCTGAATATAGTTCTTGAATCCTGTTTGCCATTCAGAAGTAAATCTGCACATACACGTCCACCTCCTATCTTCATCTGACATGCTTCTTCACACTATCAAAGATCAAGAACAATGCAATCTGTCAAAAGTACTACTGCCTGCCATGACCACGAAGCCATAACTTAAACTACAAATAACAAATCGCTACACCATGGGATATGAGCAATAAAACAAATCAAATGCAGATTGACGTACCTCTAGGAGTCGGCGTCTAGTAGGAGCTTCCGATCGATGAACCTTCTGTAGGGTGCAAAGGGGGGCTTCTGTAGGGAGAAGTTATCGTTCCTGACCTTTGCGTTGGGAAAGTCTAGATTTTTGTTGGTGGGGTGAGAGGGCATAGGATGCAGCGGCGGTGTTTGTAATGTGCTTCATGATTCATACGCTGTACTAACTAAGATCAATTATGTTAGAACTTGGTGGCCTGTCCATTTCCAAGGATGATTCTCCTGAGTCCTGATCACTTGGTAAAGGTAAATTTATTGCAGGTTTTGCACATTCATCTCTATTTGTATTCTCTACCTATGTTGATGACTTGATGGTGAACTGCATGACTGCTGGTTCTCCACTACTCGGTGTATGCATGCTGCTGGGTGATTAATATTTCTCTATTTGAATAATGAAGAAAACTTGAATCTCTGTATCTGTAGAAGTGTCAATGAACCTGTATCTTTGTATGTTCTGTACTTCTGTTGGCTTGTTGCTTGTGTACTGCGAGACTGCATGCTGTTGGCTGCATGCTGATGGTTGTGACGCTGTGCTGCACCCTATTTTTTACCCTGTATTGTTGAATGCTGATGGTTTATCCTGCACTCCTTTTTTAATCCTGTACTCATTGTTCGGTTGTTTTGGTTTAAATCGAAAACCAAAATACAAAAACCAAAACTGAAATGCTCGGTTTTCAGTTTTCAAACAAACTGATCAGGTGCTGTTTGTTGGAAACCGAAATTTTTGCAAACCGAATAAACTGAACCAAATTAGCAGTTTAAACCGAATGCATAGTCTGAGTAGGGTGGCAATGCTGGCGAGCGGTGTAAACATGTGTGCGACCTGTCTTTTTTTTAGAAGGTACATGCAATCTGTCTATGTCATGCTAGAGGGTGGGGTTTTGGGGCAGCGTCCATGGTTGCGCAAGAGGAAATTGACCACTCGCCCTAGTGGGCTGCCGACCTAACACCTTTTATGTTAGGCCCATGTATATGATACACAATGCCCACAAACAAATTTTAGTGGCAATATAAATATTCTAGCAACCAAATATACTCAAATGTAGCCACATATGATGTTAGTGGCAATAGACCCTCAATAGATGCAACAAATGACTTTTCCGATGCAATTTAATAAGATCTTTTGCAATGCAAGGCAAGATTAAGACAACAAAGTTTCATTGTGGCTATATTCACAACTACTTGCAACTAATCATATTTTCGATGCAATATAGCAAGATCTATCACAACGCAGGTTAAAATTAAGACAACGTAATTACATCGTGGCCGTGTGCAACTACTTGCAACCAACTTTACAGTGGTGGCATCAACACCTAGCTATTGCAACACAACATCAATATTATCACAACTCAACACTAGCTGTGGCAATAGGCACCCATTCTCGCAACCACCTTTTCCACCGTGGCATTAGCGCCTACCTCTTGCAACGGAGCTTATGACTAACACAACACACAATTTTGGTGGCCATAAGGCCCATATATCGCTACCAATTATGACATTGGTTGCCATAGAACCAAATATTGCAACCAAATGTATGGTGTTGCGAAAACAAGTGATGCTATAAGGGTCAAATCCTTGTAGTGTCTATCCGATTTTCTACGAGAAATGGTTGGTAGTGCAAATCTCGGGATGAGATTTCTTTAAGGGGGGAAGGGCTGTAACACCCTAGGTGTTAAGCATGCATTTAGCATTGGCATTGCATGAGCACAAGCATCATTGATCATTCATGAGCATGAGCATCTCAAATTTTATCTCTACGATTGCTTATATCACATGTGTTTGTTACTTAATGCTTTACATATGCTAGGATTTACATGTGACCCATGTATAAAATGTTTGTGGGACCTTAGGAATACCTTTAACATGTTTAGTATGTCATATGGAGCAACTTTGGTATTCATGACTTGGACCAATTTGACCTCTAAGTCATGGTTAGTGTAAGTTATCATTTTCAAGTTGCATGTTTGACCTAAGTTGAACTATACTCTAGAGACTTTACATGGCAGTACACCCTTAAGCAAAGTTGTAGTAATTGACTAGAGCAACAACTTTTATTTTTGGGTCAAGACCTATTTCGGTGCCTAGCATGCTAAAAAATAGCTCCCAAGTAGCCTTGAAATGCTGTTGCTACATTTAGAAATTTTGGCTAAGTGTTAAATGCGATTTCAGTTTCAATGTACCTATGTTTGACGCGCTGTAGTTTGTAAACTAGGCTGATCTAGACTGAACTCATGTAAGCAATATTGTAGATCTCATGTAGCTCTACAATTCTTGTTAATGAAGTTTTTGCAATTAGCGAACGGATTTGGAGTTAGATGATCGCTAAGTCGCTCTGTCAGTCGTGTCGGCGGGGTCTGATGGCCGCGGACGCCATGTAACACCCTCGGTGTTACACTGTACAGTCTTTTGCTAAAACACTGCATGAGCATCGTATTTATGTGTAAATGTGTGTAATATAGGGTGTAAAGCAATGTACGTAACTTGGATCAATCATCAGAAACGCTAAACGAAAGATACATTCAATGTCGCGTTATATCACTTAGGGTTTTAAATAAATTTTTATTGAACGGAAATACTATAGAATGCATAAACAACACTTTAATAAAGTTTGTAGTATAAGCTTCGTAGGTGACGATGAAATACTTGAGGTCACGAAAGGAATTCACTAGCTAGCGTATCGAATAGCTTGGAAATCGAATTCGACATGAATCTGATCGAGACTTAGTCGAATTTCCTAAGTCGGAAAACAGTTTGACAAGGCCACGTTTGGCAATTTTTGTAGGCGAAATGGATTAAGAAGTAGTGTAATTTCATGGCTGGTTTTAGTAGCTTGATATGCCTTCTTGAGTATAGAATAGGTGGTTCGGTGTTTGAAGTAACAAATTTGTTTTTTAGGGTGCTTTAAAAATCGTGCATGGCACGTTCCGGCCGGTGTCAGCGAATGGGCACGGTCACCATGCCTCGGCTCAGCGCGTTGCGCTGGTTTGC